AAAAGAAAAAGAAAAAACAGCATCATCTAGAATCTACTAATTCTACCACCCATGAGAAGCAGGCGGGAAAGGGGTGTATGCAAATTAAAGGGCAGTGACCACGCCCACTGGGCAGAGCGGGCCAATCAGTTGTCTGGTCTCTGGACACGCAAACACCTTATTTCCCTGCTAGGCTCACCTCGCACTTGACATCAGCCCACACTCATCCTTTCTAACTCCTGCACGATCCAATAACTTCAAACTTAATATGCCTTTCAAAAAATAAATACAGTACAAGATAAAATTAAACTCGGAAAACTGCTTAGGTACCAATAAGGATAAGAAAAATAAAATGGACCCATCTATTAGGTTAGTACAGTAGGACTAAATTAAATTATAGGACTCTTAATTCTAGAGGTACATCAAATGCTTTTTGGAATAAGGCAAATTTGCCCACTTAAAATTTGTGACCTACAAACATGGCTCCAACTTTTCTCTCAGAAAATTAGAAACCACTAATGAACGGTTTGTCCTGAGAGCAGACCTCTGATGCGCCAAGCATTAAAAATAAATGCAGAGAAAACTTAAAGTCAAACTGAGTCTCACTAACCTTAAAGCTTTCTTTAAGTGAAAGACATTATGAGATAGGGGATTGTAAAGACAATTTAAAATAATGTTTCCTAAAATGAAAAACGTTTCAAGAATTAACTGAAATATTAAAACAAAGTAAAGCTTTAAGTGTAAGGCCCAAAGAGCGCATGACAATTGGTTTTCCTGACCCAGTGTCCAGCCAGTGACCTCATTTCTCCTAACTAACCCACCTTCCTAAATCCACTGAGTCAGCCTTCCCAGCCCCTGGCAGAGGCACCAGCAGCCACTTGCACTTGAGACCCCTTTTCACCCCAGAAGAAAATCCCCTGGATTAGACCTTCTGCTCTCCAGTCAACTACCTACTCAGGGTAGAGCTCTTCACGGTCTTCTCTCATGGAAACTCCACCCTCCCTATACCACCAACCTCTGTGAATACCTGGTCAGGTAGAAAAGTTCCTATTTGCTAAGCAAGGAAAATTCATATTGTTATCTCCATCTTTGAGTGACATTCAGTGTGTTAGTATGACTTTTGTGTCCACAGCTTAGCATTCCAAAGGTAAAGAATTAAGCCTTCTGTGTGTACGATAAAAGGGTTTGTAAACCTCTAAGCCTTACACCAAAATGTAATCTATTATTGTTAGGACTACTTATCGTCAGTCCTGTTTACAACTGTTAATGATGCATAATGTAAGATGTACTGCATTGCAAAAAGCACTGTGGTAAATTGCTCACTCATACCCCCGGTGCATGCTAACAGCTTCCCTTTTTCCCATAGGCAACCCTCCTGCAACGGGCACTGGAACTTTGCTGATAACTCTGGAAGACGTGAACGACAATGCCCCCTTCATTTACCCCACGGTAGCCGAAGTCTGTGATGATGCCAAGAACCTCAGTGTGGTCATTCTGGGAGCATCAGACAAGGATCTTCACCCAAACACAGATCCTTTTAAATTTGAAATCCATAAACAAACCGTTCCTGATAAAGTCTGGAAGATCTCCAAGATCAACAGTAAGTCTGGTTAAAACATTCTGCCCCGATTCTTCTGGCTTTGAACTTAGTTTCCCCCACCCAAAAAAAAATGCCTTTTCTCTTCTACTCTCTCTTGTGTTTCCCTTTGGTTTAAGTTATTTATACCTTATAAGTACTGATCATTTTCCCACCAGCAAACACATAGAATTTATAGAGATATTAAACTTCAGTTTCTTATAAAAGCAAACATGGAAGTTCCCTCTTCTGCTCCCGCCCTGATACTTTCTGGACCGTACACCTGCTCTGTGTACCCGGCTGTATCCACATCTGTAGATCAGATGACTAACGTAGCATCTCTGCATTTCTGCCATCCCAGGTTACCCAGTCACGAGACTGTGATACTTCACTCATCCTATTCCTCTTCTTCTTTTTTTTTTTTTTTAATTTAACTCCACAGATTCTTTCTTCACCACTGGCTTGCCCAGAATTTGGCCAACCTACCCAGTCTTAGGCTTTCAAAAGAGAGGGGTCTCTGCTTCTCCCCTCACATCTCCTGCCTCTGCTGTCTCTCCTGTCCCAGAGACAGAGAACCAGATCTGCTGTAACTTTTACTGCACGTGGGAGAGAGTTTTCATGCTGCACTGTGCCTGCCTTCAAAAGAGACTAAGAAAAGAGAGGCACTGGGATGAGAAATGTTATAAAGTTTGGCTGCTAATCTTCCGTTTCATGCTGCAGACTTCCTCCAACCAGTACTCTAACAATGACCTTGGCTTTTCTTTCAAATCCTTGGCTTTTATCCTCTTCCTCCATGTGTCTTCTCTTTCCTTTATAACTTGCAAGAAACGTCTCTTTCTACCAGTCTTGCCACATGAGCAGGTGGAATTCAAAACATGACCCAAGATCTGCCATCTGCCTTATTAAGACTGAAACACCAAAGTGTTGAATTATGAAATATCCCTACATCCACTCTGTCTCACCTGCTTCCCTCCTCAAATGTGAAGGAACTTCTAAGTTCATGATGTCTTCCAGTAAAGTCAAAAAAAAAAAAAAAAAAGCAAAACAAGAACTCACAATCAGACATAGACCCTGTCTTCAATACCCTGTTTTTGACCCGGTCAAGATTCCTACTTCTTACATCAAAAGTAGAATTTTTGAGGAAGACAGGGAATTACTCATTTCATTAGCTTTTGAAATGTACTGCACCATTGTGCATAAAGTTTTTTATTTAAAAATCTCGTATCTATTGTTACAGCCCTATCTCATATCTTATTTTATTATTGCCTTTCTCTGGTTATTGATTCTATTTGCCTGTTTGTCTGTTTTATTGCTTTTTAAAGAATGAATTCTGTTACCCTGATTATTTTTTAATTAAAACAGGCTTTCTCTTGTTCTGGGGGTTAGTGTTCTATTTGCGAGTTTTTATGGATGTAGCTTATTTGAATAGTCATTACGAGTTCTTTCCAACTGGAACTTTCTCATTCGAGAGTTTCTCCTCTATGTGAGGGAGATGAGAAAGTGTCCTTGAGTTAATCTGCCCTTTCCTGGGGTGATCGTCACATGGGTCCTTTCTGGTGCTGTCACCTTCTGGCAATCATCACGCTTCATCTCTTTCAATTTCTGTGTCATGGAACTCGTGATTTCATTTCCCTCCTGATTTTATTTAACAAATAAATGTCTTCTCAACATCTTTTTGTTGTCCCAATCTTTTTTCTAAATACTTAAGCATTGTTGATGCCCAGAAAGGGGTAATGTAAAAAAATAAAAATAAAAATCCTTGGTCATAGAGACCAAAGAATAAGCTAGCAGAGGTGGACACTGCTTACTGTCACCTGGTAGCCTAGACCATGGCAGATGTTTCCATCAAGCATGGGATTAGGGGAGTGAAGGAGAAGCTTAAAGATCCAGGCCCCACACTGAGTTCCCACCCAAATCTCAGGCTGTGGAGTGAGGATTGATAAACACAGAAGCTACAGAACCACCTCCATGACAACACATAGGGGTCCTGCCACATTTAGAGCAGTACATTTCACCTTAGCTTTCTAGCCGCTGCATGCAGTCTTTGTCAAGATGGTTTTATAAGTATAATAAGTTTGCAGAGAGGAATTCTTGGTAATCATCTTCACAACAGTAGATCCCCTTGAAATTAATGATAATAGCACTGAGCCACGGGACTGTGTGATAAAGGAAACATTCTATCTCTTCATGCCCAACACGGGAGCCACCAGCCACGTGTGGGTCCCAGGCACTCGGAACGTGGCAGATGCCATTGAGGAGCCGAATTTATGTTCATACCTGATGTTAATGAGCTTAAATTCTAACATTCCCATGATTATACATTAAAATGTGATACCTGGCTCGGCGCCTATAGCTCAACCGGCTAAGGCGCCAGCCACGTACACCTAAGGTGGCGGGTTCGAATCCCCAGCCTGGACCCGCCAAACAACAATGACGGCTGCAACCAAAAAATAGCCGGGCGTTGTGGCGGGTGCCTGTGGTCCCAGCTACTTGGGAGGCGGAGGCAGGAGACTCGCTTGAGCCCAGGAGTTGGAGGTTGCTGTGAGCTGTAATGCCACGGCACTCTACCCAGGGGGACAGCTTGAGGCTCTGTCTCAAAAAAAAAAAAAAAAAAAGTGATACCTATTTCATGTGATTTGAGTCACCCGAACCTTACTCCTTTCTTGGGGAAAGACTGATCCCGTCTCACCAAGGTCCTTCTTGTCTTTACAGATACGCACGCCCTGGTAAGCCTGCTTCAAAATCTGAACAAAGCAAACTACAACCTGCCCATCATGGTAACAGATTCAGGGAAACCACCCATGACAAACATCACAGATCTCAGGGTACAGGTGTGCTCCTGCAAGAATTCCAAAGTGGACTGCAATGCCGCGGGGGCCCTCCATGCCAGTGTCCTCTCACTCTTGCTCCTCTGCCTCTTCAGTCTGGCTTGTAAGTTGGCCTAACTCCAGCGCGTGCACAAGTAGGAAAATATAACTTCTCCGGGTTCACAGAGCTGGTCTTTCCCCATATATCTTTCCAAGAAAATGTATCCCCGAGGAACCGTTCATCTTTAGTTTGTGTCTGTGTGATAGAAAATGTCACGTGTAAGAATGCTCCGACTAATGTTTAAAGGCATCTTAGCAATCTCCTGCCAGCCAGTCTGAGCAATTGTGCAAAGGCACTCATTGCCACTCTGCAAACCAGGTGATAAGCAAAACTCCCTGCAGGTGCCACTCAACTGAGCTAAGAAAAGTGTGCCTGGATTAGTTAACGGTCTACCAGGGGCCTAGTTCTCTCCTACATTGTAGGGAATAATCTAGAATAAACTAGAATAATCTGCAAGGTTAAAGTAGCTACTAGGCCTTTCTAAGAAAAGCCGTGAGAATTCATAGACAGAGACTGGGCTGTCAGGAAAGTGATAAATGTATAATTCACCATTTTTTTTCTCACTGACTGGTAGTAATGACTATAATATGATGAAACGTTATTTTAAACAAGTGAATTATTATGCCAAGTAATATAGATGTGAGTGTAAAATGAATAAATACATGTCAAAGATTTCTTATTTACGAAATACTAGTCCAATTTTAACTCTAGCAATTATTCATATATAGCTATTGCCATCCAAAAGCCTTTTGGGGCCTTGGTATTTACATTTTGAAAAGGTATCTGTGTAACTGTGACTTAGGAAGTTGGGAGACTGACAGAAAAGAACAGAGGATTTTACATCCTGGTGACAATGGCAGGTGAATCAACAGGAAATCACATGTTCCAACACTGGATATTCACTGTGTCTAAAGGTCTAAGTAGGACAGGAGTCCTGTGAGTGGGATTAAGAAGGAGGAGCCCTGGGAGGGGGGGGCGCCTGTGGCTTAGTGAGTAGGGCACAGGCCCCATATATCGAGGGTGCCAGGTTCAAACCTGGCCCCAGCCAAACTGCAACCAAAAAATAGCTAGACGTTGTGGCAAGCACCTGTAGTCCCAGCTACTTGGGAGGCTGAGGTAAGAGAATCACTTAAGCCCAAGAGTTTGAGGTTGTTGTGAGCTGTGACACCACAGCTCTACCGAGGGTGACAAAGAAGACTCTGTCTCAAAAAAATTAAAAAAGTAAAATAAAATAGATTCCCAGATCTATCCAACCTATGACATCAACATCTCAAGTAACTGTGGCTTCTATCACAAGGCCCAGTGTTTGTGTATTTTTATGCAATATTTTATAATAATGTACACTTCTGGAAATACCAATCTATAAAATATTAGTAAACCTTCATTGTCTTCCATTACAAGAAAATATAAATAGACATGGCATATTTTCTTCTTACCTACAAGGGACTTTTCTTGTGCTCCTCACTTTGGAGAACGCTGAGCCACAGATACCAATAATGTGCAGGTCCCAAGGGCTGCCCATTTCTCATCTCTCTCAACCAAGCTCTTGGATCAAGTCAATCTGAGGCCGAATTGCCCGATATCCCCAAAAGACTTGCCTCATGGTTAACTGTCATGGATAAAAGAGGCACATACGCTATATCTGAGATATCAAATGTGTTTGTGTTCTCACCTAAAGAGAGATGTCCTGTCTGGCACCACACAGACCCCCACTGCAGGTAAGGGTACCTACAGGTCAACTCAAAATTATTCTCAAAATGGAGCTCAGCCTCTCCCTTTGTAGCAGGAAAGGTACTTAGTTAACACCTCTGGTGTTCTGCACCATAAAAACACGTACTGACCTACTTAACTTCCAAAGAGTCCTTAGTCCAGACCTGTATAAAAAACTTAAGATTATTTAATATTGTTCATTTAAAAGAGAGGCCTGCCAAATATAATGATGTCTTAATTATATTCATGGTCCAAGATGTCTTCCTAAGGGCCGTTCATAATAAGACATGTGAGAAGCTGGTTTGGAGCTGGTAAGAATTATAAACATGGGTACTGCCCCACTCAGAAGACGTCAAAGTGTCCAGGCCAAGGTTCCACTGTTAATGTGATATTGACAAGAGGCTGCCCAAAGATGAGCCTAAAACCTTTAGCAAGGAGAGGTAGAGGGGGGACTTCTAAAGGCACTGAGATTAGATTTTAACTGCAAGGGTAGGATAGCTCTTCCCAACTCAGCCATAGCTCTTGAAAGAATTTGGGGAGCCAGGAGGTAAGCTGGTAGAATCTGCTTTATGTTGCCTTAGAGCAGGATCAGCAAACTAAGTACACAGGCCATCTGGTCTACCGTCTGTTTTTGTAAATAAAGTTTTATTGGAACACAGCCATGTGCACATTACATATTGCTTATGGTGGTTTTCTGCCATGGTGGCAGAGTTGAGTAGCTACAACAGCGACCATATGGCCTTGAAAGGTGAAAATACTGACTCTCTGGCCCTTTACAGAAAAAGTTTGCTGGTACCTGCTTTAAGGCAATGTTTATAAGACCTCTGTGTAGCAGTTCACATCTCACAACGCAGTAAGGACAAAATGGATCTTTCTCCTTCCCTCAAATAATATTTATATCCAAGAACACTTGCATTAACCAAATACCCTGATGGTCTGTGGCTTTTTTCTATATTTTTCATCATGTTGGTGATTTTATCCCACTTTATAGATGAGAAAACTGATGCTGAGATAGGTCCCCAGGCAAGTAATCAGAGAGGTCAGCATTTGCCATCAGACTGCCTCCTTTATGGAAACAGATAATAAAAACATTTTGATTTATTATGGTACTATCAGTGGCTTTATTGCAGCTGAGAATGGAGCTGAAAGATCTGCTTTTCCTTCCCTGACATCTGAAAATAAAGGAAATAAAACTAATGATATCGAAAGTAATAAAAAATGTAAATGAAATTATTTTTATTGCCAATTGTTGTATAAATTCTGTGTTGACGGTACTGAGGGGATGCAGAATTCCTCCCTTGGCACCCTCACCACTCCCGGCAGAGCAAATGGCCTTGTTCTCTTGCTTTGTCTGACATCTCCCCAGCACAGCTCTGTATGGTAGAGCGAGTCCCAGGAAGGCGCCTTTCTTTGACCATTGCATTAGGCTCAAATAATCCATTATAGCAAAAACAGATCAGGCAACTCATCTGTTTAACAAGTTCCAAAATTAAATATCTCTATGTTGGGGGCGGGAGACAACCTTGGTCACAAGAAAGAAGTTTGAAGAGGTGACCAAGATGAGCAGAAGACAGCTACTAAACTTTTCTTTAATTCCAGTTTTTTAATTAAGGTATTATTTGCATGCAATACAATCTACCCATTTTAAGTGTATGGTTTGATGCCTTTTGTTAACTGTACACAATCGTGTAGCCACAACATAATCAGGTTATGGTCTCCTTTGCTGTTGGCCCATGCCCTGAATACAGGCCCTCAATGATCTGATTTCTGTAATAATAGGTTTGCCTTTTCTAGAATTTCCTAGGGTATATCAATATTTTGTTCCTGTTGATTGTGAAATGTACTGTAAGCAGAGAAGACCCTGAAAAAGCACTTATGCTGGGCAGAAGAGGCTGTCCTCTCCATACAGATGGCCCTGAGCTGTGATTTGCAAAGGAGCTGTGGTCCTTTAAAGGCTACAACTTGGGGACAATGACAGTTGACCCTCGAGGGCTTTCTATGCCTGTGCCAGCTAAGCACTTTACATAAATTATATAGATTACCTCATGTAATCATCTCAGTAGCCCTAGGAGGTAGAATTATAGTCTGACTTAAAACAGGAATTTAAGACTCTAATTTGAAAACAAGGGACTGAAGTCTAATTTAGTGGATTTTATGCAACTAAATCTTTTTTTCCCCTATTTTTAACTGATGTGCCTACTAGGAGACAGTTGGAAATATCTAAACACATCTTGATTATCATGCCTGGGAGGCATGTAGCAGGTGGGAGGGGTCTCTGCAAATCACTGACCCTGGACAGGACAGCCCACTACAGAGAATGACCCATCTCAGATGTCGGTAGCACTGAGGTTGGGAAACCTCCGCTCTAACTGAAACAGGACACAGAAAGTGGAGACATTGCACCAGCCTGACAATACTAATGGGCTTTGACCATTTAAATTACCAGAAAAAGGCCAGTTTTAATGGATCATGTCTATAATCCTAACACTGTGGGAGGCCAAGGCAAGTTGATTCCTTAAGCTCAGGAGTTCAAGACCAGCCTGAGCAACAGTGAGACCTCGTCTCTACTAAAAACAAAAAAAATAGCCTGGCATTTTTGTGGGTGCCTATAGTCCCAGCTACTCAAGAGACAGAGGCAGGAGGATCGCTTGAGCCTAGGAGTTTGAGGTTGCTATGAGCTATGATGCCACAGCACTCTACTGAGGGTGACATAGTGAGACTCTGTCTCAGAAAAAAATAATAATAATAAAATACAAAAAAGAAATATTTATACAACCTAAAAGAACAACTTAAAGAATGTTCTTCCTCGTAGACTTCTTTAAAAACAGTCCATATTTTACATCTGTCTTGCAACTTGGCTGTAAATGAGACCCAGTCATCGTAGAAATGAAAGGACTGCCTCATAACCTCTGGAGTTTGGAGTAAAAGGCGCTTTGGGAGGGAGGCAGGTCTTGGCAGGTAGGCCCAGCAACAGGTCTGATGAGCAAGGGCACAGCGTTGCAGCCTGACTCCTCCCTCCTCTTGATGGCGCTAGACCCTCTCAGACAGAGCCCCAGAGGGAAGAAGGGCCTTGGCGACTGTAGCTGTAGACACGATAATTTACTCAGTTTGGTGAAATCTCAGTCCTGGGCTGGTTTTCAGCACTCCTCTTCTGGAATTGCATAGATACAAAAATGCTTAATGCAGGCAAAAACATGCTCGATTCTGAAACTGAATCTAGGCACCCTAAAGACAGACCTTCATCAAATTGTATATAAAACCAGCACATTGTACCCCATGATTGCATTAATGTACACAGCTATGATTTAATTAAGAAAAAAAAAAAAATAAGACAGAGCTTTCCACTGACAATGCTGGGTTGAGCCTGACAATACTGACAGGCTCTCTGACCTGGACGTCCCTCAGCAGGAACTGGGGTGACAGCTCTTGAATACACCTCACGCCAGTGTCCCCTTCTGTGAACTTTGCCCTGATTGACGTGCTCATGGCCCACAGCCTTATTTCCTTGGTGCCACTTTCATGACTCACTAAGTAATGCCCCAGAGATGTCTTCATTCTAATCCGTGGAATCTGTGAACATGTTCACAGAAACTGTAAGAAACTTTAATGAATTGATTAAGGATCTTGAGATGATTCAGAAGGGATCCTAGGTCAGTCAGGTGAGCCTGAAATAATCACAAAATCCTTATAAGAAGCCCACAGAGGAGCCAGGAGCGGACCATGTGATGATGGGAGCAGAGGGAGGTGTAGTTGGAGAGAGAAGAGGCTGCAAGTCTGGCTTTGAAGATGGAGGGGGCTGTAAGCCAAGGGATGCAGGTGGCCTCTCAAAGCTGGAAAAGACAAGGACACAGGGTCTTTCCTGGAGCCTCCAAAAGGAACGCAACCTGCCAACGATTTTAACCCCATTGCACTCATTTCAGGCTTCTGATCTCCAGGAATATAAGAGAATATATTTGTTTTATCATAAGCAGCCATTGGTTACAGCATCAATGGGAAACTAAGATTCCCTGTTTGAAGAACCACCATTAGGTATCTTGCTTTAAGACAAAAAAAAAAAAAGACACAGGAAAGTTGGCAATTTCTGAGCTGCAAAGCCCGCTTGTTTACAACAGATTCAGGCTCTGAGCTAGGGTGCAAGTTGTAAGGCTCAGTGGTAGCAGCAGAAACAGGAGCTGTCGGTCTGGGAGATGTCTGGTGTCTGAAGCCACCATTAGCATTTTCAGAGATGTCGGGCTTTTTAAGACATAAACCAGCAGAATTATTCCTTCCGTCTTCAGATGTCATGCTTCAGAAAAACAAATTTCCCAAGGTCGTGCAGTGTTTATAAGTGTGTTTATTATACCTTATCAATCACGTACCTGGCTTTTAGCTAAAATATTTTGAACCGAGTTGTGATATTCCTGACTTAACTCTGAACCTTCTCCATTCAGGTCTGTGAGAACTCCTGACATCTGAAGCTTGACTCCCAAGTTTCCATAGCAACAGGAAAAAAGAGAAAAAAAAATCTATCCAAATCTGAAGATTGCAGTTTACAGCTATCGAACTTCACAACTAGGCCTCAATTGTTTCCAGATTTTTGTTTTCTTTGCGATTTCACTTAGTCTGTATTTCATCATTTTGACAGAATCTTCCTTCTGCGTTTAATTAATGGAATCCTCTGAATTTCCCCTGAATGTTTAAAGATCATGACCTATAACTCGACCTTCCGAGAGCAGGAGGAGTGGCTACTCTCTCCGATGTGTTGACAGGTTGCGAGCCAGTGCTCCAGGCACTCGGCATTGTCTGTGGGTCGGTATTTGTATATGTATGAGTATCTGTATGTACATACATGGTATTTATAGAGAAACTGTACAGGGGACGCCTGGGCTGGATATGGCATTATTCCTCACAAGGTTAAACAAGGAGGAGATGGATGTGCCACGGGGCCTCAGCACAGACCACAGAGCTGTCGCTTTTGATCTGAAGCTGCTCCTCCACCATCCCATTCAGTCTGAACAACCAGGCAGGGCTGCAGAGAGGGAGAACAAAGAAAGTCCTTCCTCCTTATGTAGGATGAGGATCATAACCAGTCTCCACTGCCGTAACATGCCATGATCGTGAGCCACAGCGGGGTGGAGCAGAGCAGGAAATGTCACCATTAAATGCCCAGGAAAGGGCTGCAATATTCTTCCCTGGGCATCCATCTGCATTTGTATGTATCCTGAAGCTCCAATCCCAGCGATTCTCATCAGTGGGGCCACGGATCATGGTAGAGAATCTCTCCCTCCTCAGCAAAGGTCATCATGGAGGTCACACTTGCATATGAACAGGTCTACAGGTACCATCTTGTATACACATATATACCCACATGTACAGACAAACATTTATGGACACACACTCCGTTTGTTTCATAGACACATGCATTACAATAGAGTAAATACAGGTAGTTTTAAAAGTACCCTTTTGTGTGAATCGACTACCGTTGTTTGCAAACCTGAAAATAAAAGATGTTCATTATGTATGAAAAGTTAACTGATTTTTATTCTGTGAGCATGTAGCGGTAAGACGAAAGTTAGTGCTCGTACCAAGGTGATCTTCTTGTTGATACACTGTAAATGAATCATCAAAGCTCACACCAAATTTTTCTATCGAATAAAACTAGTGACAGCCTGTGGCTTTTTATTAGAGCTCGCCACAAACTAGGGTAAGGTAAGTGTCTTAGCATATTTTAATGCAACTGCTTACTAAAGGTTTTAACCCCACTCGCGCGTGCGCGCAGACACACACGCTTTCTTATGCAATCTCTGTTAGCCTTCCGTAGGAATTAGAAGTCATATGTTGTCTTTGTTATAGTGAAATTATGCAGATAGAGTTCCATATATTGTATTTGTTTCAATAGTAAATCTTTTTGGAGCATATAGAATGCAGAGATTTTTTTTTCCATTAAAATAAATGGGTATTGGTGGTTAAAACTGCTGGCCCCAGCTTTTCTCTGATTTCTATGTTGTGTCTCGTGTCCCCGATGCTGGGTCTTCTCTCAGTGCCAGTTCACACTTCTGGCTGACCCTTTGGGGTCTCTGTTACCTGTCTGGTAGGTGAATGTGCCAATAAAGGCAAAAGGCCAGCTGCCAGCCAGGGCCTGTGTTCCTCCTGCCCCTTTATGATCTGACTTGAGCACGTCACGATTGCCAGGAAGATAACTGACCTCAAAGACAAGAGGAACCATCCTCAGCTTAATGACCATGTGAAACTCGGTCACAACCATCTGTCTGCAGTCCCAAGACACGGGGATTTTTCTCTGGAACAAGTCCTGTTGTCTAATCAGGAGAGACCACCCCTTAAACGTGGCACAATCATTCTCCACGAGCACATATCCCCAATCTGGGGGTGGGAAGATCCAAGGCTGCGCATTCACACTTCACAAGATTTCCTCGTCTGCCATCACGGGACACAGCTCTGTGCTCCCTGGTGCATCTCACTCCCCTCTTCCTGCAAGGCGTGGAGAGAATGGTCACTCTTGAACCCACCAAGGAGCATCCTCCGACCCCCAGGTGGTTGGCAACTCGTGCTAACGAACAGTCAGAAAGCTCACCCTCCTTATGCACTTAGGCCATCTCCAGGGACAAACAGGGAAGCTGAGTGACCCATTCACAGAAGGGGACAAGTGCACCTCGCCTCCTTTCCTCTCTAGCCAGTACCTATGCAGATCACACCAGAAGCTTAGCTTAGCTTAGAACTCAGAAAAATAGGAATAGAGTACATACTTCATTAGTAAGCAGGATATGCTTCCACATTTTATCTTTTTTCCACATTTTTTTATTGTTTGGGATTCATTGAGGGTACAAAGAATTAGGTTACACATTCCTCTTATAATTGTGTCCTGCCCCCAAGAGGTGTGCCATACACCATGACTCCCCATCTCCCTCCCGCCTCCCCTCTCCCTGATCCCTCATTCCCCCTTTGTATTAGCTCATCTACTGTCTTCAGATTAGAATAGAGTACATTGGATTCTCCATTCTTGTGATGCTTTACTAAGAAGAATGTGTTCCACCTCCATCTGGATAATACAAAAGACATAAAGTCTCCATCTTTTTTCTAATGGCTGAATAATATTCCATGGTATACACATACCATGACCTGTTAATCCATTCCTGGATTGGTGGGCATTTAGGCTGTTTTCACATTTTGGCGATTGTAAATTGAGCTGCAATGAACAGTCTAGTGCAAATGTCCTTATGATAAAAGGATTTTTTTTTTCTTCTGGGTAGATGCCCAGTAATGGAATTATAGGATCAATGGTTGATCTAATTTAAGTTCTTTGAGGATTCTCCATACTTCCTTCCAAAAATGTGTTAGTTTGCAGTCCCACCAGCAGTGTAAAAGGGTTCCCTTCTCCACATTTTCTTATATAGAATATTCTTTGTTCCCAGCGTTCTTATCAGGACAAAGACATTTCTGTCTTCTTATTCTAAAACTTTCTTTAAAAAGAAAGAAAAAATAACATAAGCCAAAGTGGTAACATTTTCTGATTTTTTTTTTTTTTGTTAACCTGCAAGAATACATTACCTTGTTTACTGAAAGGCATAATAGAATCGAAATGTTATTTCTTTATTACCCGTGCACTTTATCTTAGTCCAAGTTATTAAAAAATAAAGTCAAACAGGAAGCAGAAGTTACTTTTCCCAATTACTGAGCACAGGACTGAGGGTTTTATTTCCATTGAGCAAACGGTCACAGTTCCTTCCCTGCTTTTTACTAATACACGTACATCAACCACCTTAGCTGATTAAAAATTACATTTTCTCCCCATTTTGCATATGATAAATTAATTATTTTGGATCATTTGTTTTAGTGAGACTATGCAAACTTTTCTAATGTCAATAAAAGTCACCTTCAATTTAGCCCGTTCTCTGCAATAAGCCTCTTCAGGCCGATGCCGGCCACAGTGAGCACCATCCCCAAAACACATGCAGCTAAATTTCGCAGTAAGCATCAAGCAAGGCTGTGGCTTGAAATTTTACTAACTCCCACATTTTCAAAATATCATTCTAATCAGTCTGATACATGGAACAACCACTTACATCAAACATATGGAGTTGATCAGTTTAACTTTTTTTTTTAAAGTAAAATGCTTTGGGTCTTGATCTTAAGATGCAACAACTAAAAACTTATTAACAAGTCTATGTTTGATACTGGGTTCAGTACAAGCTACCCAGATGATTCTGAGGACCGGTGCCTACATTTTCCTAGAGTGTATGGACACGGAACCAAAGGTAATTCATAATTATTAAATATAATAATAATGATCTATATTTACCTATTGGATATTATGCTATAAAATCCTTTATACATAACAACACACTGAATCCTTACAGTAATCCTATGAGGCAAGCCATCTTCTCCAACTTACAGATAAAGAAGGCTGAGGCTCAGAAAAATCAGATGACTGACCCGAGGTCAGTGGCCTCCGGAACCGAAACCCAGGCCATTTGGCTTCCCACTCAAAGCACCTCTCTCAACTCCTCAGCAAAGCCAGGCGATGTGCCCGCTGCAGCCCAGGAGACCCCAGTCTGGAGTGTGTCAATCAGCGTGACTTCCCAGCTATACCAACTTGCCATTAGGCAACCGAATCTTCAACTAACAATACCTTCTACTGTCAGGTTCCTGCTATGTTTCTTAATTCTGAGAGCTTCTGTTACTAGCTCTTCACATTATTCTCTATTAGTGTTGGGACCCTAGAAAATTGCCTGCACAAGGCAGCATCATTTTCTGAAGTATTTGCCCCTCTTCCGTTCCATGGCTTGTAAGCAGGTGCAGGAAGGGCACCAACTAGACCAACTCAGTATCTCTGTTATCCAAGAGCAAATTCATGTTCTCCCAAGTTCCCATTCACTACCAAAGCAACTGTGGACAGAAGACAGAGAAAGCAGGGTCTCCACGAGCTTGTCCAGTGCTTGGCTATAAACAATTCAAACCAATAAATTCTAAGGATCTCCAAGCAGTTCCTCATTTTGTAAAAGTTGCCTATTAATCTATTCACATGCAGTGGCCTTAGGCAAGAATCAACAGGTTAAGTCACACCAACAAGAAACGTGGGCAGCAGGAAAGGGGCCAACTAAATAATCATTAACTACTAAAGAAGAAGAGAAAGAATCGAAGGATTTGACTACACCTTTCACAGAGACAACGCACCCCACCTTCTCTTCCTGGCTGTTGAGATTTGATTCTTTTCGTGGCCCAATGACATAATGCTTTCAACATTGTTCATCTGAGTCTGTTAACAATTGTTTTTTGTTGTTTTTTGTTTGTTTGTTTGTTTTTGGCGGGGGCTGGGTTTGAACCCGCCACCTCCAGTAGATGGGGCCAGCGCCCTACTCCTCTGAGCCACAGGCACCGCCCTGCAGGAAGATAGATTTACATGTTTTCTCAGGGTT